TGTTCATTTACATTGCATTTTGAAGGCTCAACAAGTTCAGAAAGCATTGAAATCCCCATTTACACCTGATATCAACATCCATCTCGGATGACCTTGGTCATCCAGTAGTCAAAAACACAAATGATCGTATTTTATTGTAGTCCTCACACGATTGTTGCACTGGAAGCAAAAGCGAGAGTAGTCTTGTCAGTCTGGAAAACCAGGTAATTCCCTGTGATTTGTTTGGCAGTGTTCGATTACTGTATGTGTGTACAATATGTGCACATTTGCAAGAGTGGCGTCTCTTCTGTGGAATGTGCCGTCTCAGTTCTGCTCTGTGTCCAGATGGTCTTCTGTTGGCAGACACACTCATGCCAACAAAGAGCCGTATTGTGCAAACCTCCGTAGAGATGTGCGGCAGTTTACTTTACTATAAGAAGTTAGTTAAGAAGGGTGATTGACTTAAAATTGATATCTAGAGTTCAGAATTCCTTGATATGATCACTGAAAGCCAGTCAGGTGTCTCTAATAGGACTGTGATTTACAGGAGAGTTTCTCAAGGAGCTTTCATAACTAACAGGTACAGTGAGGGAGTAGGTGGGATGTGGATGGAAAGAAAGCTGAATGGTAGAAAAGATATTTTGGGGAGAACAGAATTTTAAAAAGTGCTAAAAATACTGCAACCTGAGTGTCTTATTGCTTTAATAAACGTTAACAACAGCAAATGATAAAATATGCCATAAAATCAATTTTGTTTGTTTTTATTATTACTTAGCAGGACTCCAGACTCATTCTTCCCACTGGTCGCTCTTTTGCGACTAACTTTCTCAGTTGGTCACACAAGCACATGATTTGGTCGCAATCTTTTTTTTTTTTGCGCTACAACAATGCATGCTGATGAACATATATCATAGTTTATAGTTGTATGGAAACGAAAGTGGTTAACATTCAACCCGTTCTTTTTCATCAGTAGTATTATTTGTGATTTGAATTTTGTGAGCGGAAGTTCCTCTTTTGCTGAAAACAAAAAGAAAAGTAAAACTAAAATTGCTGTCGGTGACAGTGCTTGCATGGTTTTTCCCCCCACAAGAATACCAGCATGTTCACCCTTCTCTGGTTTAAGAAGCGGTCTTTTACTTTACTTTAGCTTAAAAACCATCCATCGTTTCCTCAATATTTGCGTCATTTTTGCTGCGCGCACCTTCGCGCTCCTGCTGACGCGGCGAGTATAAACCAGGTTCTACACTCTATAAGTGCTGTGCAGCTCAAACGATTAGCGCGGTTTCGTTATGCTTTCAGTTTCGTTTGCCATTTGATGTTTCTCGTATGCAACAGAAATGGCAGTGCTTAATAAATTGAAAATCGCCGTGGTCACGCCAGTGCAACCGCACACAAAATTTAGTCGCACTGGCAGTAAAAATGGTCGCAGTCTGGAGCCCTGCTTAGTAGTAGTAGTAGTAGTAGTAGTAGTAGTATCAATAATCACAATTTTAATGAACAATTATTACAAATAACACAAATCACAATAAATAATTGCAGGCTGTTTACAGTTGCTGCAGAACAATAATACAGAATTCAATGGATGTGCAGTTATGGGTGTGAGAATACTGAGTCTCATGTGACTCATTTAATCAGATTTCAGAGCTGGAACATTCTGTTTTTTATTATTGTATAAACCGCCTGAGCATCCTTTGAAAAATTTTGATTTCTCATATCTCGCATAACAAAGTGTCCAAAGCAGCGGTCACACATGACAGCACTGATATGATGAGAGCCTCACGGACAGTTGAGCTTCTTCATCTGAATGTCCATATCTCAAGCTTCCTCATGACGGTGATAAAGCCTGTCAGCTCGTCTCAGTGTGACTGTCAGTGCTCTTCACTCTGCCATGACTGCTCATACTGCAGTACACTGACCTCAGACGCTTCCAGTGACCACATCAGCACCTTTCATTTGCTTCACCTCTGCTTCCAATTTATTATTACAGCAGTATTTATTTGAGATATACATTTCTAGATCCTTTTTTGGATTCACATTTCCTGTCATTGTCTGCTGTAGTGTGCTTGGTTATTGCTGGTTTATTTACAGTGTAAAAAATGTTTTGTCATGTACCCTAACATTAGAACATCTAAATGAACTGATTTTATTCAAGTCAAGAAGATTTATTTATTATTCATTAGAGATGCACCGATCGATTGGCCAGGGATCGGAATCGGCTGATTTTCCTCATGATCGGCCCAGATCGGTGATCGGCCGATCCGTCTCGCTTCTTTCCGATTCAGAGCCGATCCGTTTTGTTACCAGCGGCACAGGCAATAATGTCAGCCGCGCATTCTCGCGCTCTTCTCTCTCACACACGTCTCATTCGCTCCGGTTAAATAGTGCTTGTATTGCGCATTATTTTAGTAATTCCCGCAGGTTTCGCACTTACACCAAACGCACGCGCACCACCACTGATCAATATTAGTGGAGTGCACAAGCCACGCTCAGTCTCAAAACGTAGTTTCATAGCTCTCTTTATTCTATTGCATTTATTTGTGCTGTTGTTTGCCATTTTTTTATTTGTTCTTATTTTATTACTGACTTTTTACTTGTTTTTTTATGAAAATAAAACTTTGCGTTGAAGAAAAGTAGATTTTTGTTTGTATATGCTGTCAATTATAGTTCTTAGAAAGAAAATCGGAATCGGCAAAAATCGATATCGGCAGGTCACACTAACAAAAAAATCGGAAATCGGAATCGGCCAAGAAAATTGCAATCGGTGCATCTCTATTATTCATGTATTAATGTGACTACAGTAGATTACACCAATTAAAGGAAAGCAAATAACCTGGATTTATTTATTTTTCAATTCTGACTCTATTTTTTATTAAATTATTGTTTATTTGAAATAGTAGTTATCCCCTTGTTCTGTTTTGATTATTAAAAAAAATAGAGCTTTTTAAAAAACAGGTAGACACATCAGTATAGATTTATAATATTTGCAATGATGTTGACTATTATGGAGAGATTTAGCAGAGATAAATCTTTATAAATAAATATTATTATAAAATACTTTGTGGAATGTTGCAGTAAATAAAATTACTATGCAATGTAGGCGTAAATAAATAAATACATTTAGTAAATGCATAAAAACATGTCATGCTCTATTTCTTTATTTGTACTGACTTTTCATTATGCATATTTATTGAATGCAACATCATTTTATGATATATTGAATCCGCAATATTTTGCTTCAAGGTGTGTAGTTTATTTTGTATATTGTGTGTTTTATTTTTAGGGCTATTTAATGTGGTATTTTGCATACATTTTATTTTACATTTTAAATGATTATTTATTCATTTTTACATTTCATTGTACGTGTATCTATTGCAACATTCCATGACATAGTTTAAAAATATATATTATTATTTTAATTTAGTCTGTTAAATACCTTTATAGACTATTGTACATGTTTCCGCCATATTGGTGCATCCCTTATAAATATAGCTTTAATAATATGCTCGAACAACAATATATATATATATATATATATATATATATATTGCTTTGAATCAAATCGTCATAGGTTTGAAGTCTGGTAGTCTTATATAAGAACAGTATATTTGATGAGTGTTATTCTCCTGCAGTGACTCACAGTCAGATGAGTTCAGTCACTGTTTATCATGAGGTGTTTTCTCACAGAGTTTGTGTTTTTGTTTTTAAAGCATGAAAGAGAGGCTATGTGATCGGGGGAATCCCCTAGTGCATGATGGGATATTGGAGGACTGTGGGCAGGGTCAGTATTAGGTCATCTCCATCCAGTTACTTTCAGTCATTCTAGTCTCTCAGGAAGAATAAAAATGGAATGTGAAATACTTCATTTGTGTTCCAGTATGTCTCATTTCCTGTAATCATCAGAGGCTTGTGTCACTCCAAACGTTTCTGTGTAATACCTTTCAGACAAGGGCGATAAAAACAGTTCTGAGGGGGGGAAAAACTCTGTTCACTTCCACTCTTTCAAATGAGACTTTTCTCTTTTCAGTTGACTGTGAGAAGCATTTGTCTCATTTGTCTGATGCACAGTATATTCAGTTTTTATCCACATGACTGCTTAATTGAACATTTTATAAAAAATAAAAAAAATAAAAAACTTTTTTTTCTTCCCCATTTTTTATTTTTATTTTTCCACTCATTCCAGTCCTCATAAGAGTAATATCCAGTCATTTTAACACTAATTTATAACACTATTGTTTTATTTTATTTATTTTGGTTTTTATTTTCACTCATTTCAGTCTACATAATAATAATAATAATATAAAATTATTTTATCATTATTATTTATTTATTTGTATGTTTGTTTTCACTCGTTCCAGCCCACATAAGAATAATATCCAATCTTAATTAACACTTACTTTATTCTGTTTTATTTCAGCTCTTATAAGAATAATATCCAATCATTTTTAAAATGTATTTATTTATTTATTTATTCGTTCATTTCAGCCCTAATAAGAATAATATCCAACATATTTATTTATTTACTTATTTTCACTCTTTCCAGCCCACATAATAATAATGTCCAATCATATTTGACACTTATGTATAACACTGATTTTATTATATTCTATTTTATTTCATTTCAGCCCTTGTAAGAATAATATCGAATCATTTTTAACACTTGTTTATAACACTTTTATTTATTTATTTATTTTATACTTATTTATAACACTATTTCATTTTATTCTTGGGGTTTATGCTGTTCAGGAAAATGTGTAGTTCATTTCTATTGTAAAGCTTGTTTGAGTTGGTAATAAACTAAGGGAGGTGGATCTTGTAATTTATTGCTGCACTCAGTAGAGGGTGCTCTTTTTCATCCATAACAAGCCAGCTACCTGTTTTCCTACTGACAGCAAAGCAGTGACACCCAGAATGTGTTTACATTCAAACTAAAGTTCTGTTTTCTAGTAACACCTGACCTTAGCAGGAGCATTAACATTGTTAGTTAAGCCTAAAATATAGCCTCTCTTTCTGTCTGTCTCCAGACCACTCCAGCTCCAGCGGCACATTGTCTTTCCAGCCTCTGCGCTCGCAAGGTCCCATCCCCACGGCCCACGTCATGCCATCTCCGTCCAGCTCCAAACTCAGTGTGCCCTCTGCCCCCACCAGCCCCTGGAGCAGCTGCCAGCTCCCTTCTCCCCTCGACAGCCCCCTGGACATGAAAGACCCCCGGCCGGTGCGCCGCTGGTCCTCCCTCACCCGTCTTACCGGCCAGGAAAAGTCCACCCCTCCCGGGAGACCGTCGTACCGCATGGACCCGCACGGATCCCTGGATCGAGGTGTGCTCTACGGCTACCGACAGGACCCTCTTTATTCAGTGCAGGAAAAATACAGATTTTTAATAGTGTCACTGTCAGTGGTGTGCCATGTGATTTGAGTGCTCATCTATATTTTCAGTTTTAATTCATTTGACCATGTACTTGAATCCAAACCTGCTGAAAAGGATCTCATTTTGATCTAAATTCCATTGTTTTGGAATTGTTGTTGGTTTTGAGATGTAACAGGCAGCAACCACTAGAGGGCGCAGTGACACTAGTTTTAACGCCTCAGTTTTTTTTTGTAACTATGTACCAGCATTTTTGAATTTTTTATAATGTTTTGACAGTGAAAAAAAAAATAGAAAGGGGAAAAGTCTACATCAGAAAACTAGCCAATCAGAAACATTCTCTGCCTGTCAATCATTTTGCACAGGTTCATCTGGTCATGTAAGGAACCTTAAATTGGTTTTGGAGGTAGAGAGAGTAGGAGTCTCTGAAACATACGTCCCTCTTATACCAATAATTCTTGTTTCTGACCATTTCAGGTCACCTGAGCTTGACCAGAATCAGCATGAGCAGTAGAACCACAACAATAAGCAGGAAGTTGAGCAGCAGGTTTAGTCCTCGGTTATTGATCAGATCCATAGTGATGGGATGGAGATTTCCTGGGTTGTTCAGCTGTGTCGAAGTGTATCCCGAGTGTGAACGGCCCCAATTGGAGGTTCTTCTTGTTTGCCAGTGAAAAGGAGGATGAGCAGGTTACATCACGCTGGTCTCTCACATGCCGTGGAAAGAGCTAAACATGATTGACAGACTGACATGAGCTTTTCTGATAAGACAGAGTCATATAAACAGACAATAACTGGTTCTCTTAAGGGATAGTTCACCCAAAAATGAAAATGTGTTTATCTGCTTACCCCCAGGGCATCCAAGATGTAGGTGACTTAGTTTCTTCAGTAGAACACAAACGTCAGATTTTCATTTTTGGGGGAACTATCCCTTTAGGTGTTAGTAAACCAGCTTCCTGTGACTGGATCATTGAACTGAATTAGTACAGTGGGAGTATCAGTCAAAAACAGAAACGGCACACTTTTTATTGCACACAAGTGATCATGTAATGTTTTTATTGAGCAAGTGTTTTTCAGTGTGTAACAGAAGACGTGGCTCACAGGTGACATGCAGTGACGGGATACTGGGGATAGTGACAGACACATGGAGAGACATTTGCATGCAGCATAAGTTCACAGTGAAGGCTTGTCAGTTCTTTAAATCGCCCCAGAAAATGGAGCTCCAATCCTGTTTTTGTTGCACGCTGATTTAACTAATTTCTAATCAATTGTGCTGTTAAATCGATTGTACACTATTGTATAAAAGTTTGGGGTCAGTAAGATTTAAAGCTTCTTCTGATCACTAAAGCTGCATTTATTTGATCAAAAATACAGTAAGAACACTAGTAATGGAAAATAGTATTATAATTAAAAATAACAGTTTTCTATGTTAATATAATTTAAAATGTATTTTATTCATGTGACACAAAGCTGAATTTTTAGCATTCATTACTCCAGTCTTCAGTGTCACATGATCCTTCACATGATATTCTTATTTGCTGCTCAAGAAACATTAATATTATCAATGTTCAACAGTTGTGCTGCTTAATATTTTTTGTGGAAGCAGCAATACATTTTTCTCAGTTCTTAGTTTTTTGACAAATTGAAGGTTATAAGAACAGATTTTTTCTAACATTATAAATGTCTTTTACTGTCACTTTTGATCAATTTATTGCATCTATGCTGAACAGACGTTTTCATTTCTTTAAAAAAAATAGAAACAGAACTTACTAACCCCAGACTTTTGAACAGCAATGTAACTATTTTTGTCAGTATTAAATTAAATATGTGTTTAATTATACTCAGTATTTATATTTACTTTATTAATTTTGCCTCGTCCACTGTCTTCTGCTTAGGATACATGTCATGCTGCCTTAGCATTTGGTCCAAATTAAATTAAATTATACATTATCAAATATATTGGCATTTTAATCATCTGACTGTCTAGTTACGACACGATTTGCCCCTATGTACAGTCCTTCGCCCTCATTGGCTAGTGGGAAACCTGTTGCCCCTCCCGCTTACATTAGCAAGACAATGATGTAGATGAGCAGCAGGCAGATGAGGATGAGGCAGAAGTTGACGAAGAGCTCCTGCATGTTTTGCTTGGCCTGCTGGGGAATCTCCATGGTGGACGCCCGCCGAATGGCCGCCCGCGTGATGTGCTGCACCTTCTCCATGTCGAGGAGGGGTGGGTGGGACGGATTAGTGCGGAGGAGAGAGGAAGAAGGACGGCAGTACCGCGAGGTGGAGTGGAGAGCCGTGTGAGGAGGAAGCAGTGCTGGTTGTTGTGGTGATGGAGGACGTGATTCGGTTGGCTGAGGGAAAGGAGCAGGAGATGAAAGAGTGAATGTGCATGCAGATTCACACGTGTCATGCAGGTTTGGTAGATGTTTCAGAAGATTTTGACACCATATAGCGTCCTTAAAGCGATAGTTCGTCCAAAAATGAAAGATCTATCATCATTTACTCACCTTCATGTCATTCCAAACCTGTATGACTGACTTCCTCTGCAGAACACAAGAGAAGATATTTTGAAGAACATTGGGGTCCAAATAACATGGACCTCTGAATATCTTATTTTGTGTTCTGTAGAATGGGTAAAGTAACTGATTATATGTAATCTGAATTCCATATTCAAATTCAAAAGTAATCTAAAAGTAGTCTGATTATATTACCTAAAATGTGTAATGTAATGGATTACGTTACTAACTACAATTTTTGCCATGTAATTTGGAATCCGTAACGGATTACAATTTGTAAGTAATTGTAAAAAGTAACCCAGCTCTGTCTGCCATTTTCTTTTTTGGATGAACTATCATTTTAAAGGTCATTTCACATGATTAGCATTATAGAAATGTAAAAGGCCACTTGGACTTTCACATGTTTTTACGATGTAGCAAGAAATTGTCAGGTTTGTACAGTGTGAACGTACAGATTTGAACTTGGAACAGGAAAAACGTTGATTGTTTCAATGCATCACAAAAAGATTCACAAAATTTTAGTTAAAGAATGATGGTACTATGACTACAAAGAAATAGACTGAATTATGGTGCATTAACGTTCAAGATATCTTCATACATTTTAAATTATAAGTTCAATTTATAAGTTAATAAAAAGTAAATAAAAACATATTTTTAATCATTGCTTGTTGTATTGTACTGAGACTAAATTGTTGTATACACTACTATTCAAAACTTTGAGGTCAGTAGGATTTTTTAATGAAAGAAGTCTCTTATGCTTAACAAGTCTGAATTTGGTGAATATTAAAAATACAGTAAAAGCAATAATATTGTGACATTATTACAATTTAAAATTTTTTTTAATGCACTTTGTCAATGTTGAAAACAGCTGTGCTGCTTAATATTTTTGTAGAAACGGTCATTCTGTATTTATTTCAGTATACTTTGATGAATAGAAATGAACAGCATTTATTTGAAATAGAAATCTTTTATAACATTATAATTGTCTTCATGGTCTTTTGATTTTATTTATTTCAATGTAATGCATTTTTGCTGAATAAAGCAATGCATTTCTTAAAAAAAAAAAAAAAAACCCGAAATCTTACTGACCCCGAATATTTGAACAATAGTGTACACTGTGAGACTTTTCCGTTGATCATCAGCTGTGCTTTAAAAGGTCAGAGGTCAAAGTTGAAGTAGTTTGAATGGCGCACACTGTCACTGACTCTTTGTAGCATTCAATGCATTTGCCAACCTTGATGCAAGTCAGATGAAATGGCTTTTAGTCTCAAACAGAGCATGTCTATTATCGCGATACATATTGATATTGAATTATTGTCCAGCCCTACTATGCCCTAAATTGTTAAGTTTCAGATGTGTCACCTAAAAGAAAGATGCTTGACAGGTTCCTAAAATTAAAACCCCAGGGGTTTCGGTTCGTCTGGGTTCTTCTTTCAGAGTGGATTTTAACAGTCTTAAGCCCTGTTCACACCAAGAACGATAACTATAAAGATAACGATATTGGCGTCCACACCAGCGAACGATATCGTCTGTTTATTGTAAGCGCACATGCGTCTGCCGCTTTAAATTCTTGAGCTCGTTACAGCAGGATGGATTCTGATTGGCTGTCAGTGTTTTATCGTTCATTAGCTGGAAAAAAATCGTTTTGAAAGTGATCACAACGATATCGTTCCTCTGTATCGTTATCGTTATAGTTGTGGTGTGAACTATGCTATTCTTTAATATTGAGAACGATTTTTAGAACTATATCTTTATCGTTATCTTTATAGTTATCGTGCTTGGTGTTAACGGGCCTTTACTCTTGCTTAGATGCACTTGTACAAAGCCTTGGTCTATCATACTTTGAGTGCAACGTCATTAACCTATTATTATTGAACGATTGCTAGATGAGACTTCAGCAGCACATATTGTGTCTTTATATAACTGTCTTTGCGGTGTAGGAGTGAGCTTATTTCTTTTCATTGTCCCGTCTTGGCTCTGAGTAAATAGAAAGAGGTGGTTTCAGAAAGACGTTTTATATTGATGATTTTACATGTGTACAAAACAGCCTAAATCAGGATTTAGCACTTCGCCTCCAGAAAGATTAGATGAAGCCCTGTTTTCACTGAAAGATAAAGTGGCCTTGATTATAAATCTTTGCGTATTAGCGGAGCTCTCGTCTTAGAAGAGCTTATCTCGCTCTTTCAGACTGCTGCTCATTCCTGTCTCCTCAGATCTGTAGGGAGTTCTGTCTTACGGATGCATTCGGCAGCATCGTGGACGCAGAAGCACCTGTGGCCTGTGTTCTCATTGGCCGCTGTGTTGCGTTATCTGCTTCGCCCGCAGTAAGGTTATTCTTAGGAATGACCTTTGGCGGTCGCAATATTCCACTGAAACCGTGGCCAGGACTTACCCAGAATCCCTCAGGAGCCGGACTCTATTTTACCAAGTACAACTTATCACCAAGAGAGTCATGAAGGCCTGGGATGATGTTGTTGTTGTTGGATATGTAGGCCGTGACTACTTTAGCCTAATGGGAAACAGGATGTGTAGGATTGGTTGTTTTGGTAATGACCTGTCTGATCGTGCTTGACAGAAACCTGTTCCTTTGCAACAACTTGTAAAGACATAAAACAGGCCTTTAATGGCGTGCATGGTATGTTCAACAATTTATGCATTTCCACAATTTATGTTGTTTAAATGGCTTCTTGACAGGAAAATGGCGTACTTCTTGTTTTAGTCTGTTCCACTTTAAATTAGGGATGGGTCACTGTTGTTAACTACAACAACTGACTAATATGTAAGTCAGGTTGACTAGTTTTTGATTTTGCATTTTCTTTTTTCTATTAATATTTTTAGCAGCTACATCAATTGACGTGCTTTCAGTGTGCGGCTTTTTAACTGTTTACTTTGTGTTGTTTTGAACACCTCACACCATGAACATTGGGTTTTTAAGTTGATTTACATTTGAAGTCAAATTAAAACTTGTCTTACAACACAACAGTCCATCTTGTATATGACCCCTAAAAAAATACACCCAGCTGGAGTCACGTACAGCCAAACCCAGCCTAATTAAACACCTCCAAAAGTGTGAATATCAGGACTGGAAGAATGGATATAACTGATAAAATCCTAAATGGTCATGGAAAAACAAAGTGGTGGCAATTTGTATAGTCAATATTTTTCTTTTTATTCTCTCTTCTAAATATGAGTGGGTGATATGACCAAAATCTTAAATCACGATATGAGATTTTATTTCAAGGTAATATCACGATAGAGTTATTTTTGCTTTAAATAAGGTCTTTATGATATCTAAATTTTAGATACCGTAGAAATTTCAGAATTCTTGTCACCAGTGTCAATATCACAAAAAAAGTAATACTAACCTAAATTAAAAAGAAAAAGAAAAAACTCCAGCTCACTGAAGACAAGTAAACAGTCGGCGATTAAATAAGAATTGGAAACTAATTACAAGCAATAGGACAAAAAACTACAATAGAACAAATAAATAAGAAATGCTACATACATTGTATAAAGTATAATCAAATGTATAAAATCACTGCATATTCTTTACTGTGTAAATTAAATATATATTTCTTCTTATTAAAGCTACAAAAATGATTCAGTCAAGAGCACTGAGAGATTTTCTCTCTTTTGTTGTTTGATTAACATAAAAGACAGAAAGCGGGAATATTAGACTGCTGTCACTTTAAGAGCTGCCCGGATCCAAAATACTGTTACACGTTTTCTTTCTCAGCAGTTTGCTTTCACTTAAAACCTAAATTACTGTGTTTACGAGGATGCTTGCAAAGCTGGGCATTTTGACACATAAAAGTGTGTATTTAACCTTTCAAGGCCTAAAGCAGCAAAAATAACTCAGTTCAATACTCCCACACTCCGTGACAGTGCTCAGAAACAGTGCGCGCATATAGCGAAATGAGTTCTCTTTCGCTGCTGGTTGTGTTTCAATGGCTTAAAATCACTTGTTTTTAAACCGCAATGCTTAAAACCGCAAATTCCACGGTTGACAAATTCCTACCGATTAATCGTGTCTATTGTATATTGGCCACCCCTAGTTTTAATTATTTTACTAGAAATTACTTTGTCACTTTTTTTGTGATCTTTATGCAATGATTTTTAAAAATCTTCATCACAAACTAGGGCTGGGATAATAAATCGAAGCATCGAGAAATGATTCTGCATCGATTCTGAGATTTTCCGAAGGCATCGCGATTCTTTCGTGAATCGATTCTGAGCTTAGTTTTTAACAGCAGATGGAACTGCGTGCTTTAGAAATAGCCGTATTCTGCTTGCTTCCAGTTACTTACACACGCACCACTTGAACCCAAAATAATCATTCATAAAGTTTGAAAAGGTTGAAGCGAATTACAAGGATGTTCACAGTGGGCTGTGTTTACATTAATATTGCATCATAAAAGCCGACGTTCAAGTACATTTAACCACTTACATTACTCAGCCGAACGCACAAGCGCTTTTCTTCGTGAGCATTTGAGTGTGCGGTTAAAAACTAGCCTAGAGCGCCATCTGCTGTTAAAAACTAAGCTCAGAATCGATTCGAGAGAGAATCACGATGCATTCCGAAAATCTCAGAATCGATCCACGAATCGCAATACATCGATTTATCGTCCCAGCCCTACAAACAACTGGAAAATTTGTGGTAAAAATCATGAATCCTAGCAATTTATTGGTCAGAAAGTTTGGGAAACCTGTATACAGAGCTTCTGTAAGACCGGTCAACTAGTTGTTCAAACAACTCACCAAGACGACACTATTTAAATTGTGATTTTGGACATCCCTACTAGAGTTGGCTGTTTTTGTTTAATGATTGAAGGAAAAACACCTGAAAAGTCTTAGGAAAATGGTTTGTTTGAAATGTTAATAATTGGAGGGTTTGCATTGTGTATTTTACTCAGTATAAGTCTTAAGAGTCTCATCTCAACATGAAAAGCCATGTTTTCAATGTTTTGTCAGCGGAATGATTGACACTAAGCTACAGAAAAGTACAACCTACACTTCCCCACCGCTTGTTTTCATAGTGATTCTTGCGTCCAGCTGACCGGTGTCACTGAACAAAGACGTTAAGTGTACGAGTGACTGACAGTGAAGCCTGGAGTGGAGCAGTCCATTCAGGCGCCCAACACAGGCCGCACGTGACACAGAGGAGATAAACCTGCTGCTGGTGACGACAGGCTTTGGAGAGATGTTTGTCAACACCACAGGGCACCAGAATTCCAGCACCCTAGTTAGCTAGTCAGGAGTCATGTCCGCATTTACCGCTGGGAATGATAAGATAATTAACAATCTCCTTAGGAGGGTATCGAGCAGGTCATATGTTTAAGAGACCCTTCCTCGTATGGCTATTCAACTCTCTCAAGTCATCCTTTGGCAAAAAATGTCAACTCGTCTGCACTGAAATGCACAGAGAGAGCCAAGAAAGTTGTGAAAAAATAAAACAAGTGGAGCAAAAATAAGATAGAATCGCACCGAAGAAGGAAATCATCTGAAAGGCTGGCTCGGAGATTTCCCAAGCCTGTGCATGCTTATGTGCATATTTTTTACTCTCTGCTGTACAAATAAGTCGACGTGAGGCAGAGCGAGTGCACTCAGTTGGCCTCAATGCTAAACTTTCCATGATGGCATTGTGGAGCAATGCAGTGGGGGTTTTTGTGGCTTGGTGATGCCTCTGAGAGCATGACTCTTAACAGGTAGGACAGTGCCTGTTGAACTGGCTTTAGGACAGACATTTTTGGCCATGCACACTAGGGCTGTGCTGATAGAGTCACATATTGATATTTAATATTTAACTTTATTGCTTTGAAGCTTCAGATCTTTTAGATATAGTATTAATGATATAATTTCTTACAGTTCAGATAGTGAAGAAGTGGGAAGTCTGAAACAAGTGTTGTAGAGATGCAATACTGGACAAAAGTGAAGCAAATCAGTTTAAAAGTCATACAGCAGATTCATTCTCTCACTGAGAGAATTTCACATTTACTGCAGTTTCATTTGCAATACAGTTTTGAAAAAACTTTCAACTTAAAAACGTAAGTTCATCTGCAGCCTTAAACTTTTATAGTTTATATAATTAACTTGGTTGTGCAAAACTTTACTTAAATTACATTAAACTGACTTTACAAAATCAAGTTCAATTTCATAAACGTATTAAAAAAAAAATATTAAACGTATTTATATATATATATATATATATATATATA